AGGTGAGGCGCGGGCTGGCGCCGGGTCCGGCCAGGTGAGGCGCGGGCTGGCGCTGTGCGTGGATCACTCTGAGCGAGAGCCCCGGGCCGCGGGTCTAACTCCTCCTCTATCTAGGGATGGAGACGCTGAAGATGGAGACCAGGGTCCAATCTGGACATTCCCACCAACGATTCGCCCCAGTTCCCTTAAACTGCACAAAGGAATGGCTCTCCATGGCTCCCAGAAGGTCAGTCTGCTCCCCTGGCCCTGGAGAATGAGGACGGGGCGGCGGGGGGCGGGGGATGCTGCCGCCTTTCAACTCCTCCTCTATCTAGGGATGGAGACGCTGAAGATGGAGACCAGGGTCCAATCTGGACATTCCCACCAACGATTCGCCCCAGTTCCCTTAAACTGCACAAAGGAATGGCTCTCCATGGCTCCCAGAAGGTCAGTCTGCTCCCCTGGCCCTGGAGAATGAGGACGGGGCGGCGGGGGGCGGGGGATGCTGCCGCCTTTCCCTGTACTAGCATAGCGTTCTCTGCTCCTCACGTTCTAATGTGGGGCCACCTCCCCTCTGCCCCTCCCGCTGGTGAGCCAGGTCACGGTGCCTCACTGAGCATGGTGTGGAGGCGATATCAGGGCTGCACTCCATGACCCCAGGGTGCTGATGGCTCAGGCTAGTTCTCAGGCCTGGGTGCTGCTGAACAGCTGCTCGATATGGAAGAGTCTCGTGCTTGCACGTGCCTCGTGCAAGTCCGAGCAGTTGGATGCCCTGGCGAGGGAGGCGCCGGTGGGAGTTAGATCCAGCCACTCCCGTTCCTCGGGCTGCAGCGCAGAGTGGCTGAGGTGGGTCCCTGGCAGGAAATGTGTTTCAGATGCAGGGGAAGGGACGGGCAGAGCAGCTTGGGGTCCGCCTGCTGCATGAGTTCCTCCTCTCTATGTTCGGCTTTCCAGGCTGCTGAGCCCATCAAGCGGCAGCCGAGATCGCAGTGTCTCTCCACGCTGGTCCAGCCCGTCTTCGGGGAGGTGAGACGGCTGCGGGCGAAGGGGGGATGCCCGGCAGAGCGGGGGCTTAGCGAAACGTCTCTGCCTTGGCTCAGAAGCGACAACTTGTACGTCCTGCTTCGGAGCGCTCCCGAGACCCTGCTGGGGAACCAGAGCTGGGCGGGAGGGCGGTGCTGCCCGGGGCTGGTCTCTCCACGCTGGTCCAGCCCGTCTTCGGGGAGGTGAGACGGCTGCGGGCGAAGGGGGGATGCCCGGCAGAGCGGGGGCTTAGCGAAACGTCTCTGCCTTGGCTCAGAAGCGACAACTTGTACGTCCTGCTTCGGAGCGCTCCCGAGACCCTGCTGGGGAACCAGAGCTGGGCGGGAGGGCGGTGCTGCCCGGGGCTGGTCCTTGCTTCCCTCTGTATCCTCCTCTCTGCTTGCCTGGCTTTCCCAGGGGCAGTAGGCTAATGCCGACTCAGCAGCCCCCTCACATGGGTAGAGCAGGAATCAGGGTTTGCCAACACCAGGGGATTTGATGTCTTTGGTGCTCCCTGAATGCCCTGCCCACGCCATCAGCCCCCAGCTGTGGTCCCTGCTCCGGGCTGCCACTCCAGCAGGACCCGAGATCTAGACTTTGCCGTGGGTGGGTTCCAGGTCTTCCCTCCTTCGGTCCCGCATTCTAGCTTTCCAGGCGCTTCTCTGGCCGAGTGCCTGGGAATTAGCCCCACGCGGACTGGGGCTGGGGGAGGTGCAGACGACCTGAAGTAGCTGAACAAACTCTTCCTAGCTACTGCCTGGTGGTGCCGTTTCGCCTGTTCCGTGACTGATGTTCTGTGCGTAGGGGGCAGGAGCCTTTGCACCTGGCCACAAGGGCGGGAGTGGAGTCCCCCCGAGAGCAGCCCGGGGAAGCTGCGCCTGGCTTTTCCGTGCCCTGAGCTACTAGTCTGCCTCCCCAGCACGGCCTGCAACAGTGGGAACTGGCGCTCTGGCCTTGGGCCGGCGGACGGGGTCTTAGTGTCGCGAGTTTTCCCTGCAGCCAGGGGCTGGGAAGCTGCGCAGCCCAAGAGGAGTGTTGGGGTTTGCCTGGTCCTGTACGGTGTCTTGGGGCGAGGGCCCATGAACTCAGAATCAGGCTGCTCCCAAAGGCACCTGCAGGAACGAGGAGAACAAGCCGAAGACACTTCAGCAGCAGAGTCTGTCATGGTGAAGGCGGTTAAGGGTTTCCCAGAGCCGGCCGGTGGGTTGCAGCGCCACGAGGGGCCTCGCTCTCAGCGCTGCCAGCGCTGAGCAGGGACGTGACACGTCTGTTAGTGGAGCAGTCGATGAACCGCGTGAATTCTTCTTGGGCACTCGACTAGTCTAGTCCGTGCCAGTGCCCTCCCAGCCCGCTCCTGCCCCCTTCCTCTGCATCAGAGCAGGAGTGCGGGAGGCCAGGCGGGAGCTGGTCTGGGAGGGGAGCCAGCTTAAAAACCAGCCCCCCCCTCCCGGAGCAGCTGC